TCAACCTGTGAAAAGTAAAGTAAAGGTCAAAGCAAAGAAAAAAAAACAAGATTATCAAGTTTGAATATTGGGACGCTTAAAGGTAAGACGAGAGAATTGGCATCAATGTTGAACAAGAGAAAAGTTGATATAGCGTGCATACAAGAGACGAAATGGAAAGGACAGAAGACTTTGATGATTGGAGATGGGTATAAATTCTACTATAATGGAATTTGTTAGCAATAGGAACGGTGTCGGCATCATCCTCAGTCAAGATCTAACCTCCTCAGTTGTAGAAGTCAACAGGATCTCTGATAGACTAATGAAGATAAAACTCTGCATTGGTCACAATACTACACATCCTTTCAGTATATGCTCCTCAAACGGGTTGCAAGGAAGAAGAGAAAGATGATTTTAGAGCTATCCTCGATGAAGCTGTAATGGAAACCCTAAGGATGACCTATTCATAATTGGTGGTGACTTAAATGCGCATGTGGGGAAAGCAAGAGATAGCTACAAAAGGCATCATGGTGGTTTTGGATATGGAGAAAGAAATGATGAAGGAGAGCATATACTGAAATTTGCGCAAGCCTTCTACCTTGCCTTAACCAACACCTACTATAGGAAAAAGGACAGTCATTTAATAAGATACGAAAGTGGTACAAGGAAAACACAGATAGATTACATACTAATCTCTCGCAGAAGATTAAAAGATGTAATAGACTGCAAAGTCATTCCAGGAGAAGATATCGCCGCACAACACAAGCTACTAGTCATGGATTTACACATCTCAAATAAATCCACTCAAAACAAGATAAAACTGGAACCATGCATCAAATGGGACAAATTAAAAACAATGACAGGTGCCTTTGCAATCAATGCAAACATTGAAACAATAGATTCCTAACAAGTCAGTGAAAAAATGTGGACAGACCTTTCATCCAGATTAATAGACAATGCCAAATCGACACTAGGCTTGACAAGAGGAGGCAACAAACCATACAAAGAACTATGGTGGTGGAATGAAGAGGTACAAACCACTATACAGGAGAAGAAAGCCCTTTATAAAATATGGTACAAATCCAAAAACGCAGATGACAAGACAAGATACAAAAAATCCAAGAGATTAGATACAAAGGCGGTGGCTAGAGCCAAATCTATGGCATACGATGACATGTACGAAGATCTACATACCAAAGAAGGGCAAAATAAAATATACAGATTAGCCAAACAGCGAGAAAAGAACTCTAGGGATATAAACGGAGCTCCGAAAGTAATCAAAAATAAAGATGGGAAATTGATAATAAAGGAAAAAGAAATAATGAGTAGATGGAGAGAATATTTTCAGGAGCTTCTCAACTTTAATCCGCACATACTGCATCTAGACGAACACTCCCCTTGTCAAAACCTTGTACAACCTATAACACAACAAGAAATAATCACATGCCTCAAGCATATGAAAAATAACAAAGCTAGGGGTCCAGACGATATTCCAATAGAAAGCCTTAGGGCACTAGGAGATGATGGAATACATCTCCTCACAAATCTATACAATAAGATACTTGGAAAGAAGAGGTTCCCCAAAAATGGAAGCAGAGCTATCTAGTTCCTATCTTCAAAAATAAAGGGGATCCACATAATTGTCAAAATTACAGGGGCATAAAACTAATGTCACACTGTCTAAAACTATACGAAAAAATAATTGAAAAAAGATTAGAGATATAATCGAAATAGGAGAGACTCGGTTTGGCTTTATGCCTGGAAGATCAACAACCGATGCTATCCACGCAATTAGGCAAATGAGTGAAAAATACAGGGAAAAGAACAAAAAGCTACACATGATCTTTCTCGATCTAGAAAAGGTCTTTGATAGAATCCCAAGAAAACTTGTCTGGTGGACGCTATGCCACAAAAATGTTCCCGAAAAATATATAAGAATAATACAGGATATTATATGGGCCATACAACAATGGTCCGTAGCACAACAGGTACTTCAGCAGGCTTCACAATAGCCGAAGGAGTTCATCAAGGGTCGGCTCTCAGCCCACTTCTCTTCATTTCAGTAATAGATGTATTAGCACAGTCTATACCTCAAACAGTCCCGTAGAATATGATATTTGCAGATGATATTGTGATAATTGCTGAATCTAAGGATGAAATGAAAGAAAGACTAGTGAGTTGGATAAATAGAAACGCACGGATTAAAAGTAAATAGAGAAAAGACGGAGTATATGGTCATAGGAGGAGATGGAACAGAGAGTATTGATATAAATGAATGGCAGATATCGGCAATTGAAAGCTGCAAATATTTGGGCTCCACTATACAAACAAACGGCACAATAGAAAAAGAGATAAAGAGTAAGATTAATCAAGGGTGGCTAAAGTGGAGATCTTTATCTGGAGTGCTATTTGATAAAAGAATCCCACACAAATTAAAGGGAAAAATTTACAGTTCCATAGTACACCAACTATTCTATACAGTTCGGAAACATGGCCAACCAAAGAATCAGACGAGAGAAGTCTACAAACCATGGAAATGAGAATGCTGAGGATGATTGCTGGGGTAACAAGAAAGGATAAAGTGCGCAGTACAAGAATACTAAGTAGTTTAAAGGTAGTGCCTATTAAGACTAAGTTAATGGTAAACAGACTTAGGTGGTATGGGCACACAATGAGAAGGCCTATGAACTACATAGGAAATAAAGTTAAAAGTTTGGAAATGATGGTAAAACGTAAAAGAGGAAGGCCAAAACTTCAATGGGGCCATAAAGTTAGAGCCAATATAAAGAAGTATAAATTAGATAAAAGAGATTGTATTAATAACATAAAGTGGAGAGAGATGTTGAAGGAGCTTACCACCAGAAAAGGTGAAAGCTAAAAGAGAAAAAAAAATAAAATAAAATATAAACGGTAAAAATATAATCGGCGCAAATATCGGTTTTCTGATCGGTTTCAAAGTTAATATCGGAAAATATCGATTCGGATCGGATGGGTGAAAATTTTTGGATCGGCACAAGTCCTAATTTAAATCATGTTTCTCGAGAAAAAAAACTGTTAATTCAAATAATTTTCTACATTTCTTCTGAAATAAGAGTATCGCTAACATTTCATTTATTTTTTAATATTCACGTACTGTCCTTTTTCAATCTAGTTTATCGTATTTAAAATAAGACGCCATATATTATGACACATATCAAAAATCGATCAATAATTCTTGGAACTAGTTTATCTATCGATGATGATAACATTCGATTTCATAAATAAAACTGTATATTAAAAAAAAATGATATCAATTCAATATATAAGATGGAGTGTTGTTAAACGGCTCGTTTTGAGGCGATTTTTAAAAACGGCCAACTCAATATTTTAGCCAGAAAAATATTGCCGAAGCCGAGATTTCGCTAATAAATGTCAAAACCTTTGTTCCTTTCTACAAATTAAATCTTCGGACTTGCCTAATTCTAGATGAAATATTGAGTTAGCCATTTTTAAAAAACGGCTCAAAACGAGCCATTTTACTACACTAACGAGATGGAGTTGCCTAGCAGCCATACATATTTGGATTCTATTAATGAATAACGCACCAATGAAACCAGTATCTAGGATAGTAAAATCAGAATTATCGTCCTATTTCTGAGTTTTCTACTCCTTTTTTTTTAGCACACGATTATATGAACATTAAATTTTATTATGATTTATTCATTATTTAAAATATTTTGATTTAAATCAAAAATGATTTTTAAAAAAAAATATATATATTATTCCTAATAACACGTGCAAGTTTTTAAAAAAAAAAGTATATACGCATACCAGATGGTTCAAAAAAAATGTCGCATTTTGAAATCTTCGTAACTCCGTACGCGTTACTTGTTGAGTCAATTTTTTTTTATAAGAAATTGAACTCAAGACCCTCAATTATTATATGGGGCTAAATGGGTTCCCATTATGTTGGTATGTGGGGCTAAATGGGTTCTCATTGTCATTATGTTAGACTGTAGCTGGACGTTTCGCCCTTTTTCTCAAATTTTTTTTCCATAGATTACAACCGATTTGTAAAATTATCGCGATATATAAAATGTGATTAATCGATAGATATATGTTGGCGAATCGTTTCTAGCCATTTTTTGTTGTTGTCGCGTTAACAACGCCTAACAATCTCATCTTCCAATGATCGAACACCAATTTGATTTTTTTTTGTTGTTGTTGTTGCCGAATTGGGGGGGGGGGGAGAGTGGGAGTGGGTTATACATCGCCAATTTTTTTTCTTCAAGTTTTGTCTAAAGATTCGAAGAAAGGGGAGGGGTCTTGTTTCCGGAATATGAATCCCATATTTAGAAGTCGCCTTTAAAAGCTCGTTGCAACGCAGCGAATATTTCACTTTTTCCGGGAATTTTTCGAATCAAGGCGCATTCTAATTTTTTGCTCCTTATAAGGCATGATTTTAATGAGATTTTTCTTATGATATGGATGGGGGGGGGGAATAGGGAGAGGGGGAGTGTTCATGAAAGACTTTTAATAAACAAGATTTTGCCTGATAACCTGAATATTTTACGTCATATAGGGAACAATTTTGAAAAAAATTAGCGAATCCGGCTATAGCCCAACCGTTTTAGGGAGAAAAAAAAATTGACTTTTTTTTTGAGTTATTCTCAAATTTTAGCATTTTATTGTATATATCTTAATTAGCTAAAAGCCGACATTTGAGTTATTTATTCTCAAATTTTAGCATATTTTTATATATATCTTAATTAGCTAAAAGCCGATACAATCAAATTTTCAAAGAATTTGAGCATATTATGCTTCATATATATTATTTCTTAAATAAAATACATATATATATATATAAATGACGCTTTTTTAAGATTTAAATTTTTTTCTTCTAATAACACGATATCTTTTATTTGACCCCCCCCCCCTCCCCACCGGTTCAAGAATATTTATTTTTCCAAAAAATTTTGGGAGATAATTTGATTGACATATTAAACGTTTGCGGCTGACATTTTACGAATATAATTATTTAGCTTCGGACCTTGCTCGAATACTGGAGCACGCTACCCAGAAGTGTCCCGGCGTGGAGGAATTATGGACCAATCTGTATTTCGCTTACGTTCGAACCCAAGATTTCAAGGCCCAATACAAAGTGGCGCTGGCTCTCTACAAATCGGCCTCCAACGGGCCGGGGCAGGTCGGGTCAGGGCACAAAGGATTTGGCCAAGATGGGCCTGGCAAGGCTAAAAGGGTTTACCTGCAATGGGCCGTTGTCTCGTTGGTATTGCAGGTTTTTTTTTTCGATTACATACGATTCATGATTTTAAAAAAAAATATACATATTATAATAAATTAAGGCTCTGGCAGATCCGGTGAAAGCCAAAAGCATTTACCTGCCTCTGGCTCATAAAATGTTGTTGACCAAATCCGCCTCAGCCATTAATCCCAAATCCAATCTTCTCAATGCCACCGTTGACCAAAAATCCCTTTCGGATATCGGTTCATAAATTATTGTGTCATGTTTTTGATTTTAATCCTTATCTATGGCATGTAGACACCAATTAATCCCTGTCAGTTTAGATTATAAAGGGTTTTAATGACTAGTTGTAGATGAAATTAAGCGAGACCTAGGAGTTAGGGACAAAAGAAGCGCATAAGGAAGCAGGACATAGTCGGGTTAGAGGTCAGAAATATGATTTTTTTTTTTTGAAAATTAAAGAATCTAATAAATATAATGATAATTAATCATGTATTCATAATGTTTGTTATAAAATTATAAAAATATCATGTAAAATTTAATTTTTTTAAAAATACTTAATTGAATCAAATTCAGAGATTCAGAGTTGTTAAAGTAGCACGCTACGGTAACGATATCTAATGGCGCGTTACTTTTTTCCCATATATTAATTTTGTTAGTGCGCTCCTTTTCTACTTTTAACTACTTTCAAAAAATATAGTGAATGTAACTATAAACATGAAAATTTAAATATAATGTTATAATTTTGAAATTTATATTTTCGATCTGTATTACAAACTTAAATCATTCTAGTGTAAATTGTCGTCCCAAATGGATATCGAAATTGATGTAAGTGAGTCAGACACAATGATAATATTAATGAAGTGGAAGGTACCCTGAAAGAAAATGTTCTTGATAACAATAATACAAATTTTCCATTTCCGAAATTTTATAAAATATTTTCAAATTAATGTAAAAACATGAGGTGTGGCTACAAATTTATAGGAAAAAATATATAATTAAATATTATCTAGTAGCTGTAACCTCAAAAAAACATCTCAAGGTAATTGTCATTTTTAAATTCTAATAATATTTTTATTTTGTAAAAATGTTCATGCCAATATTTCTCAGAAACTTGCTTAAAGTCATTGTCGAATTTTATAATTGATATAGTTCAGCTAATGTCATTGGTTAATAATCCATTATTTACCAAGATGATTAAAATTCTATTTCCGGGTGCAACATTTTTTGTCGTCGACACTAATGATTAAGATAGCAGATAACTTTGAAGTGATGAAAGATACTCTAATAGCAGAGTTGTTAGATATCCCGTTCTAAATCGTTAAAACAAAAATCGCTAATAATTGGGAACCTGGCTTATATCTCCAAGAAAATTTTCAAGTAAATTTGAAATTAATATTAATAGATACTAGGGGACTAAACACTTGTATTTAAATTGAAAATTTTAAAAAAATCGCTAAAATGGAAGAAATATCATCCAATTTCTAATTTGATTCCCAAAACTGGGATTTTGGATGATATTTCTTCCATTTTGGCGATTTTTTTAAAATTTTCAATTTAAATACATGTGTTTAGTCTCCAAGTATCTATTAATATTAATTTCAAATTTACTTTGAAAATTTTCTTGGAGATATAAGCCAGGTTCCCAATTATTAGCGATTTTTGTTTTAGCGATTTAGAACCTATCCCATATGAAATAAAGGATACTTAATATAATAGAAAATCCCCAAGACGCGTTTTTAAATCTAAAATGAATATTTTTGATGATTTTTCTTATATAAAAATATGTATATAAAATTAAAAAACTACCTTGCCCTTAAGTGCTAGTGTTGAGAGATTATTTAGTAAAGCATAACTTATACTTACTGATTGTTAGGGATGATGGTATAGAAATGATCTTATTATTAAAATGTAATAATAAAAAATACCATAATTAGTTATTTTAATTACAATAATTTTAGTCTTGTTACATCAATCAAATTTTTTATAATCAATGACTAACTATATTTAAATATTTATAAATGTTGATTTTTATGTATTTTATACTATACATTTACATTATAAGCAAAAGATAAAACAAATTTATTAAATATTTTGCTACCTTTTTTGACAAATAAAGGTAGCGCGCTACTCTTAAAAGTTGGGTTTAACAACTCTGCTAATTATAATATTATCTTCTCTCTCTCTCTCTTAAACTAATTATTTATTTTTGTGAATCGTTTATATTTGATAATAGAACTAGATTTGTTGTCCATAATTTTGGAGATGTCTTCGAATTGGCAGGAAGCTATGGACTTATTCACCAGCCCGACCGGAAGTTAATTTATATAATATTCCTTTATTTTTTTTAAAAAAAATAGTTAAATAGCGATGTTTAAATATGGGCAAAATACTATCCCAACCTTTATATATATATATATATATACTGAACCTACTCCCAAAAAGTCTAACGTGGTCGCCATTTTAAAAGAGTATATATATTATGTTTCATTCCCCAAAAATTGATGAACGAAAGGCTGTATATCCTGCCCTTTGCTCTGATGCATAATCTAGAAATAAGAAGAGAATTTTATATAAAATTCTTTAACCCTCAGCTTACGAAACAAAAAAATACCAAACAGGTCCAGTTGACTCTTTATATAAAATAAAATACTTTTTACTTTTCATTTCACATTATTATGCATTATTAACGTAATTTTAAAATAATGAAAAAAAATAAATAATTTTTTTTACAATCTTGATAAATTTTTTTTTGCATTTTTAAAATAAGGCATGTTTGTTCAACGAGCTTTTTTTTTTTATTAGATATATTTTTAGATTCTAAGAGGGTTTAGTTACCTATTATTAATGCCTAAATGACATTTTTCAACGTTGAAATTTATTTCACACTATTTGGTAGAATTCATCTTTATTCTACTATCTGCATGAACACAGAATGAGGAGGCTTAAGAATTACATTCTCGATCAGCCAATCAAGTTGAACTTAAATTTTTATGAATGACATTTTTTTAAAAAAAAAAGTCATTTTGTTGTTTTCTAAAATACGGGTTTAATTGCCATTTTTCATTTCCATCTTTATATACAAAGAATTTAGCCTGAATCGTCGGATCTTTCGAAGGAATGAAATGACACCTCACCCAGCTAAATTAAATTGACATGATATTCAGAATCCCTGCCTTTCTAGAGGATTTTATTCATATACATGAGATCTAACTATAAAAGAATATATTTTAGCAAAGAGAATATTTTGGCATGTAGCATATTGTGATAATAATTAAAAAAATCGGAAAATGAAATCTAAAAAGAATTTAAAAAAAAAAACTATTATCATTTAATGTCACGGCAGAAAGCCAGATGTTCGTTTTTTGCCATGTTCACAGTGGAATTTTCGGATAAAATTTTAGGAAAACTATCCCATAATATATTATTGGCTCATTCATAAAATTTCATCTCAAGAAAATAAACCTGAAAGCGATAAACAATCGAGTATGGCAAATAGATCTATTGGACCCAATTGGTAAACTAATTAAAATGAGATCCAAAATATATATGTGAGGATAACCAATCTCATCTTTAGACTAATATTGGCGCGATTAGATATTGAGCGAGCAAACCATAACTTTATATTATTTATTTAATGCATTTTATTTTCTTAAAAATATTATGTCTCAATAAACTTATTGTTATATATATATCTAAAAATACTTTTATTATCAAAGGCAAAATCAGGTACGGGGACATAACGGCGAAAGAAAAGATTGCCCAAATTTACCACAAAATGGAGAATTTCGAAATGGCCAACCAATGTTATCAAGAACTCATCAAAGAACAGTATGTTTTTTTTTACTATTATATATAGGCATCTTAAGATCTTATATTACGAGCTAGAATCCTACAATGAGAATTAGAAATAATTTTAAAAAAAAAATAAAATTTAGTAGAAAGGAAAGAGGAAAGGAAAGAAAGGCTAAATACAATACAAAATTTATACTCTTATGCACTTTACTTTGTATACACTTTAAATTAAATGGTAATATTTAAAAAGGCCGGACAATTGGAATTTTTACGAAAAATACTTGGACACCTTGTTTTTCATCGCGGATGATGAAATGTTCAAAGATTGCCTTGGCACCTTGCGCCACAAGAAAACCATTGTCCAAAAGTTTTTAAGATATATATTATTTTTGGAACCGCGTTCTCGTGGTTCCGGTTAAAGGGGTGGGGGAGATTAACCTGGTCTCTTATACGGAATACAAATAATATAACTATTCAATTTACACGAATAAATTGCTTGATTATTTTTTTTGGGCAGTTTAGTACTTTTTTGTAATCGTGTTTTATGTATGGTTGAGGAAGGTGTAATTAAAATTTAGCTAATTAATCGTGCCAAAGCTTGCAAAAGTCTTACCTAACATTGGATCTGAAATGTTTTTTAAACATCTTTCAATTAAAAAGAAACAATCGCGATATAATTTCGATATCAAAATAAAATATGAAAAATTTAGAAAAAAATTGAAAAAAATAAATAACATGCACTTTACTTCTCCGAAAGAAAGAAAACGATTATTAAATTGTAAATTTATTATTTATTTTCCCATATTTATTTTCTTCTTACTATTTACTCCTCATTATTAAAAAGGCACAAAATTCTTAAAACTACCCAGGCTTCCCGTCTACCTTCCTCTTCTGCCCTTCAAACCGCCGGCCAATTTCTCAACGGGGTCATAGCGTGGTCCGTTACGCGAAGCGTCAAAAGGAGAAGAGCGCCCCATATGGCTAAACTAGACCTGGCCTTACGGTGTTGTGTCGTTAACGGGAGAGGGGGTCAAATGGAACATTTAGGTTTCAAATTTTGGAGGGAAGGAATAAAAAGATAAATTTGAAGCCGGAGAGGATAGAGGAAATGAAATAGATAAAAAGTAGGAATTAAATGGAAAGGAAAAAAAAAATAGAATCGAGATAAGAATTAAATTGAAGGAAATGAAAGGTAGAAAAAAAAATAAAAAGGATACATACGTAAAGGGACACGAGAAAATGTGAATTTAAGAGTAATTTATTTATTTTCTCCACCATTTTAGATTTTGCGTTTTTTTCTTCTTCTTTTAAGATCAAGCCGATCCCACCGCCTTAGTCATCGAATATATCGACATGTTCGGGTCAAAGCCTTGTTGCTTTTGGGACCTGGAATACTTTTTATGCGTTCCGGCCTTCAAATCCCTCGTTCTTTTTAAAGAGGTTTTCGTTAAAAAAATACAATTTATTAAGTATGTTTCTTCGTTCATCATTTCTGACGCAAACGCTACATAATATTGGCAAATCACCCCCATTTTTTTTATAACCGATTACCCAGGAAATCTATCACCTATACCTTGGGGGTTTCCCCTCATAACTCAATCAGGGAAGCTGTAGTAGGAAAATTTGCTCATGCCTCAAGGCGGCTTCGCGATTTTTTTACGCCCCCGCCTCTAGATTGAGGAGCCAATGAGGAGCCAACTGCGCAACGTTATTGGCTAACCAACCTGACGAATCCTAAGTTCGAATCTGGATTCCCCGCCCAAATTTTTTGGGAAAAATCTGTTTAGCCTTTCTAATTCCCCCTTTTTTTTAAAAAAAAATATGAATTTGGTGAATAGAATTCTCGTAACCAATTAGAAGAAAATGTTAAGGAAATTTGGAAATGGGAGAAAGAAAGAACGTTACGATGTTTATTATTGCAAGAAAACTAGTGTTTGTTAAAGGGTCCGATTTGGGTCGATTTCTAAAAACGGCCCGATTAAGATTTCAGCTCAAAATTTATCTAGGGCTGGAGAATTTGCTCTTAGATGGAAGAAGGGTTTGAACCTCTATCTAATCTCGAGGCTTACATTAATATTGCTTTGGCTAAAATTTTAATTGGGCCATTTTTTTAAAAAATCGACTCCTACCAAAAATAATAATTCCTTATAAAATTTAGATGAAAAGATGAAATTTATGATAGGAAAATAATTATTTAATTGCAAATTATCTTCGCTGATTTATATTTTCAAATCCATTTATTAAGTTGGCAAAAAAAGAAATAAATAATGTGTTTTTTTTTAAAATAAAAACAGGTTTTCGTGACCAAGATGGAATCAACGTTTCATGATTTGGTATCCAACAATCAAGAAGTTCAAATTAAAAATATAATAATTTTTTTTTTAAAGGATCCCTGCATTTGATCAGTATTTAAGTTAGAAGCCCGGTCCGACAGGAACATCAATATTAATCACTGAAATAGAAAAAAAATGTTCCTTTTTTTCTTAGAATTCAGCCTATATCTTATGAAGATGAAATATTTCATGAATGACTGATATTTTTTTGAATCGATAAAATTTGTAATGGCAAACGTATTTTTGTTCTCTGAAGTAATTAAACATATTTATAAGGAAGAAAGTATGCGAAAGATGTTATACTTGTACTTTATAGTTCTATATCAATTTCTTCTTAAACGCCGGGCCAGACCAATAAAAAAGTCTCTCTTACAGATGTCTGGTATTAATAACATTTGAAGAAGTCACAGTATTCTTCACCTCATATTTTTTTTGAAACCTACTTTAGAACTTAAAAAAAATTATTTATCGATTTGTTTGTATAGGAGTCTAAAGCTATTAGCAAACGCTTGAACATCCTCTATACCTTCTACAAACTGGGAAAGTATATGGGGTACTTCGACGACCCCGTTTCTCTTAACCCCGGCGTAATAATGAATTCGGAAAATACTACGCCGAGGCTGGATATCTGCAAACGATTGGTATCTCTCTATTTCAACGCTACGCGGGAACAGGTTTCGACGGTAGATAACCGAAATTTTCTTCTTTTATCCGCTTGCGATTGCTTGTTTGACATTTGGACCGAAATTACGACCCCGAAAGATGGTTAGCCAAATTTTAACCTTTTATGAACTGAGTCACGAGACGATCATCTAGGTCATCCCACTTGAAATTGGACAGGTTTCGTAGACTTCTTTCAAATCTAATGTAACTCTGCATGATTATTATATATGCTGATGTGAGTGATGCAAAATCACTTGAGCAATAATCTTCGGGTTTGCTTAATAATTTTTCCGGATTAAAATATTGAGTTAGACATTTTTATAAAATCGGCTCAAGTGGAGCCATTTTGCATCGCTATTTGTGAGGACCTATGCAATTTTTTTTTTAAGATCTATAAGACCCGAAGATATGATGCATCAAAGCTATAAAAAATGAAGTTCTTTCTACTTTGGAAAAAACCGTTAAAAAATAAAGATCACCCAAGAACTTTAATGATAGAAACCTATATTTGATAGCGTTAGATAGCCCTCGAGTACCTTTCTTAAAAATAATTTAATTTAATTTTTTCATTTCCGGAAAATTTCAGGTATTTTTTCATTTCCGGAAATTATCAGGTGTTTTTTCATTTCCGGAAAAGCCAATTAGGATGGTCGCTATTTATTTTTTTAAAACTTTAACCCGCCATATCTCCGGAACTAATTAAATTAGAGCTTTAAAAAAAAATTAAATTGTATAGGTTCTCACAATATGTAATATGAATCACGAAAAAAAGTTTCATTCTACTTGAAAGAGGTCCACGAAAATGCCCCCTTTTTGATCGATTTTTTGAAATAATAGATGATTTTTTTGTTAATATTTCGGATTAATTCCCGAACCCAAAGGAAATGCGACAAAACAAGAAATATTTTTTTTTCCAACTCATTGTCACTGGTGTTGTTAAACGGCTCGTTTTGAGCCGATTTTTTTTGTAACGGCTAACTCAATATTTTAGCCAGAAAAATATTTCCTGGGCCTCGAGATCTCGATAATATATGTCTAGACCTTTGTTCCTTCTATGTGCAAAATCTTCTGGTTTGCGTCATATTTTTCTGGATGAAATATTGAGTTAGCCATTTTAAAATCGGCTCAAAACGAGCCGTTTAACAACACTAATTGTCATTGTCACTTTACTATTTTAAAAATTTGAATTGACTAAATTTTATAGCATTCAAATTAATGTGATTTTTTTTCCCCAATATTTTATTCGGAATTTTGAGACAATATTGTTTTTTGACCTTCATTTTGATTCTTTGTTGGTTAAAACAAAATAAAATTCCCCGTTTAATTATTTTTGACAGAAAATAAAAATATATTTATTTAAATTATGTTTACAAGAATATATATTTTTTTATTTCACCCGAACTTCGAAGGGTAGTGAGTTTAGTTTTAGTAAATTATGATGATCTTTGAAGGATAGGTGGGGATTCACGTCGCACTCTCTAGTGATGTCCCCGGTTTTGGGTTTTACCAAAGTGTGTGAATAAAAAATAAGTTTGATTTAAATCAATGAGTATTTTTAGAAAAAAATCACTTGATTCAACTAAATATAATTGTTAACAAGATTCATCGTTTAAAAAATCGCTTTATATTTTACACCAAATTACCTCGCTAATATAGCAGTTTTGAATAAGCGTAAATTATGTGAAATGTAAATTTTTACAATAAGCAAATTTAAATGTAAAAGATTTTATCCATAAAAAAATACTTAAAAATGAAAAACTAATATCCAAACCTGCTCCCAAATTTGGATTGGACAAGGCCAAGGATGGAAATAATTTTTATTTCAGGGTCATTCCACGTCAAATGAGCAAAAAAAATGAGATTTTCGGCCGACCCCCTTCGATTTTTTTAAAATTTGGTAAGCAAAGAAAGGTCAATGTAACTAAGATATAGCCATAATTTTAGCCTCCTAACATTTATATTTTTGAAGATATTAGAGTTCAAAGTGGCAAAAATGACGTATTTTTACCAATATCTGCCTTCATTCAATTAAGCATATCTTAAAAACTACATAATTGTAAATAACAAATTTAATATCAAAATTACGTACAAAGATTCTACTTTTAGATAAAAAAATTTTTTTATTTTTTTTTCCAATTTTCGGTCATTTTATTTAATATATAAGGACTAAAAACGATTTTTTGGAAATAATACGACCTTCAATTTTTTTAAAAAATTTAGTAGACATTATTAAACTCTTCCTTTATATTTATAAAAAAAAATTGGTCTGGGACGCGGCCATCTTCTATCTCAAAATCGATAAAAATGTTTAGAAAAGTGTATAAATATTTTCCCGAAAGGGGGCGTCTTTGTATAAAATTATATATTAATAAGTTTTTAATGGTTTTTCTTGAACTATTTGATATAATTAAAAGGATTATTCATCTTGTAAGTGAAAATAACAATAAATGGGGCTTTCATTCAATTATAGAAATTGTTTATCGATAAAAAAAATTCAATTTATTACTTTATTTATAATTTTATAAAAATTTTTGCCCATATAACATATATTTAATAAATATTAATAAAATATGTTCAATTAAGTTTCGAGTTCTTGAATATATGAATCAGAATCTTGTGCATTTCATATATGACGCCCTAAATATTATAAAAAATTGATATAATTTAAATTTAAACTCACTTTTAAAAGATTCTAATTTTTCGGTAGCGCATGTACTTTCTTGTGACGACAATGTAGTATAACTACGGCCAGTAGCATTTAACAGTGAAACTAATGTTAACATATGACATTTGGGCAAGCAAAGAGTGTCGTCTATACTTAGAAATGTAAAGGAATTAGAAGGTCCGGATGGGTGTAGAAACTTTATATATATTTCTTCCTGCTTTTAATTTTTCACTAAAACAAAGCTAACCACCAATTAGAATCATAAGGATACGTTAGGTATCCTGATATTTCTTCGATAATTATACTTTCATCATTATATGATAACTATTCTAAAGTACTTTCTATTGAATTGGAATACATTTTACTTTTAAATTATGTAGATCTGTTGGAATCAAGGTGTGTATTTTGTGTGTTCCAGGTATAGATCTAGTTTTTGAAAATCTTTTCCTGAGTAATAGATCTTCGTAATCATAATTTATTTTGGTCATCTATTCAAAATATATGACATTAATATTTTCTTTAGCTAACTCGTACAATTCATATGATGTGTACTTTGAGTAAGGCCTTGTAAACTAGCTCTAGCGGCTAATCTTTTAACAGTGCCACCAATCCCATCACAAACACTTTTCCCGTGTGCTGTAGCAGAAAAATGCCATTTCGCCTGTACCTCGAAATCCATCTCATGATGGCAAATATTAATAAAATTTTTACGATTTTTATACTGTGCAGCGGATCCACCGGAAAATAAAAAATTTTATTAATTAAAAAATTTAGCAATGTTTTTTTAAAGTTATGTACTGCTATTGTATTGTGTTGCAAAGATTCGGATATCATTACATAATTTAGGCAACAAATATTGGCAAAATTATCTTTATAATATATAACAATAGGGTGAACAGTGGATTGAGCCCTATTCCAATGATAATATTGTACTTCATCCTAAAGTATAAAGCTATAGTTTTCTTAAAAATCACAAAATTAAATATTGGTCTTCGTCGTGGTTCTATCTATGGATAGCCATTGTTTGTATGTTATAAATTCGATGTCCTTAGAACGAAACAATATTTCTATTTGATCGCGTAAATGTGTTGACCCTAAACAATTATCACATTTGCCCATATAACTGGATGGTTGAGGCGAATTACAAATTATTAAGTGTAAAATATGTTTGAATGTTTTAAAGGGCAACATATCATTGGTTAAATTTGATCCAATGATCATTAATTTAAATTTTGGTGGTAGCTGCAATCACGTACATGTGTACCACTACCTTCAACGAGTATACAATTTTTGGGCGAATGCTTGCGAATTTCGAAAAACCAATTTTAACATCAGGCCTCATTTCTTTAAAAAATATATAAAATTTTTTTAAATTATCTAAAATTAATCTCTTATGTATGGTATTCTTTTTTCCGTCTTTGGTCAAAATCGAAACGCAATCTTTCTTGCCTGGCATGATTCTGCTTATTTCGTCCATACAATAAAATTCTTGTGCAATTTTAACTGTATATTCGTCTATAGTTTTTCCAGGCTTGGGGTTAGGTGTTGATAGAAATCAAAATACCAAGAAATTATTAAAAAATCTATTAATATAGTGAGCATGTGTTATTGAATGATTAAAACCCTTTCGCGCCCGAAATATTTCCCATGAACAAAAAATACTTGTACTTTGATATAATAAAATAATCATTTTGACATAATAAAATAATGATTTTGACAGGTTAATGATAAAATATGAAATAATAAATATTGTTTTATAAATTATTATCTCTAAGTACCAACAATTAGTTTCTTTAAATATAAAAATTAATTGATTAAAATTTTTAATGACAAATGATCTCGCTGGGCGCGAAAGGGTTAATCAATTTTAAATTTTTTTATTTATTTTATTGATTGAAACACTTATTTATTTTTATTCTAATTTAGTAAAGCTATGCCGATTTTAGAAAATCCGATTCAATATTTATATTGTTTTGGGTAATTTTATGAAAATACTTTGATTTTGTATATAATTTCATAATAATAATAAATTAATATTTGTAATATTTAAAAAAAATCAAATTATTTTAAAAAATTGAGTAGAGAAAATTTTGATATTATTTTTGGCGTCTATGAAATGGATAAGATTCTGATTCATATATTCAAGAACTATAAACTTGGTTGAATATATTTTATTAATATTCATGCAAAAAATTTTATAATAAAGTAATAAATTGAATTTCTTTTATCGATAGACAATTTCTATAATTGAAAGAAAGCCCCATTTATTGTTATTTTCACTTACAAGATAAATAGTCCAAGAAAAACCATTAAAAACTGATTAATATATAATTTTATACAAAGACGCCCCCTTTCGGGGAAATATTTATACACTTTTCTAAACATTTTTATCGATTTTGAGAATGAAGATGGCCGCGTCCCATACCAATTTTTTTTTATAAATATAAAGGAAGAGTTTAATAATGTCTACTAAATTTTTAAAAAAAATTGAAGGTCGTATTATTTCCAAAAAATCGTTTTTAGTCCTTATATATTAAATAAAATGACCGGAAATTGGAAAAAAAAATAAAATTTTTTTTTTATCTAAAAGTAGAATCTTTGTACGTAATTTTGATATTAAATTTGTTATTTACAATTATGTAGTTTTTAAGATATGCTTAATTGAATGAAGGCAGATAATGGTAAAAATACGTCATTTTTGCCACTTTGAACTCTAATATCTTCAAAAATATAAATGTTAGGAGGCTAAAATTATGGCTATTTCTTAGTTACATTGACCTTTCTTTGCTTACCAAATTTTAAAAAAATCGAAGGGGGTCGGCCGAATCGTGGTTGATTTGTCATGGAATGACCCTTCAGCTAGATTGAACTTATTTGCATTATCACGCGAATATAGCAGTTTGAATAAGCGTAAAATTATTTGGTTCATTTTTTTTAAAAAATAAATGTAAATTTTTTACAATAGGCAAATTTAAATGTAAAAGATTTTATCCATAAAAAAAAATACTTAAAAATGAAAAACTAATATCCAAACCTGCTCCCAAATTTGGATTAGACAAGGCCAAGGATGGGAATAATTTTTATTTCAGCCAGATTGGAATCATTTGCATTATCACATAAATAAATAAATTAATATATTTTAGGTTCTTCACCTCTTGCGATGCCATGTAGTATTGTTAAACCGCTCATTTTGAGCCCATATTTAAAAACGGCTCATTCAATATTTTAGCCAGAAAAATATTGCCTAAGCCTCGATTTTGCTAATAGATATCCAAAACTTTGTTCCTTCTACAGACAAAATCTTCAGGATCGCGTAATATTATTCTGGGTGAAATATTGAGTTATCCATTTTAAAAATTGGCTCAAAACGAGCCGTTTAGCAACACTAATGCGATGTATTATTTAACCCTCTATATCGCACGCTTCTATACCAATAAAGATGGAAATTGCCAGATATTTCTATGTTTTTTTACAGTATGTCAACTTCTTCTTCCTTTCCGTTTAATGGCGATTTCCAAGGTTTAGTTGGCCAGTATTCCCTCTGATTTTTATTTTCCATTTTTGACGGGGTCCTGACTCCTGAGCATCAATATTTGTAAGATCCATTTTTCTCATATCCGCCGCTACATTTAGCCTCCTCATCTCGGGCCTTCCTCTAGGTCTTGATCCTCCTACTTCCATCAAGGTGCATCTCTTTACCCAGTCATCTTTTGTCTAACGTTGGATTACACAATTCTCATTAAAACATCAAATCATTTATTGCAGTATATATATATGTATGTAGTAAAATATTTGATGCGTTGACTCCGGCTTACAAAGTGCAATAGAGGGTTTGGTATTTAATTATTCCAGGGTGTGCTGCTTATTGTTCCGCACAAATCTGATATGTTCGATACTTTTATTTTGCAATATATCCAATAATTTTGTAATTGAAATGAGTATCCTTTAAAAGCTTTTTTTTACAGATGATATTTATAATTTTTTTTTAGTAGATCTAAACATTTTTTTTCCGGTTTCTTCACACACAGTATTTGCCATTGACTTAAATATGCTCGGATGCTTACTATCTGTTAACACATTTCTATGTACTCTCACAATAATCCTTTAGAGTGAGTAATAATGATAAATTCATATCATAATCATTTATTCATAAAACCACACCAAACAAATCACAAATGTTCGATGGCTAGCCTTTACTAGGTATTATATTATACACACATAACCATTAAATTATAATTAAGGAATGCATATAATATTAAAATGTAAAATCATTTAATTGAGATTAAATTTAATGTCTAATTTACAACAGAGCGCAAAATTGATTATTCAAAAATATCCAATATTTGTTCCTTTACACTCTTTATCACTAAATTATGGAAGAATATTAGATATAATGAGAAGCCCTTCTATGAATCAAACTATTTCTAAAATTATCATTTTTTTTATAATGAAGTAATAATTCCTCATATTCAACACGTTTTATGCATTTATCAATAACATATCTTGCAACTGTGCAATTGAAATTTTTTAAAAAAATTTTGTAATGAGACCTATTGTTTAAAATGTGCATTTCCTCTACATAAATCCCTACATTTAAAACTTTGGTCATCTAACCCAACCAATTTTTTTTAGGAAAAAAAAAATCTAAGATTAAAATAAATTCTGGGGGCTTTACTTATGTTTATTTCATAAAATATCTAAACAATTCTGAATATTTTCAAGTTTATATACAAAATAGTATAACTTCTATAATTTACTATACCATAACATAACTCATTTAAATATATTAAAATGATCACTTCATTATGTAGCTTATATTCGCGAATCTATAAAAGTATATATATAAAATTTCTTTTTTTTTTAAAAAAAAAATTGATAAATCACTAATTTTATTTATATAATAACATTAAATCTATTTATACATTATAAGTGTTAGAAATAAAAAAATTAAAATAAAAAAAATTAAGACGCCATTTTATCGGATCAGAAAATTTTATAATATTCGATAAAAAGATGAAATATCCGCTCGATCCGATATAAAATATCGGTACGAAATATCCACTCGATCCGATATAAAATATCGATACACCCATGATATATAACATAAACTAACTAAATATTAATTTTATACTCGTATAAAAAGGAGGGGGAGAGGGGGGTTTCTAATAGTTGTTCCACATAACGAAAAATATGTTATCGCTGTCAATCATAAAAACATGTGATAATCATCATAATATAATCCAAATAGAATGTGATATAAAATGTATGAACTATACAGTATTTCATAAAAGTAGACTGGATTGTTTTAATTAATTATTCGGCACAATTTGTATATCATTTATTTTGCTTTATATACCCACCCCCCCCCTTCCCCCAAAATATCGCCGTTAACGACAAATCACCTAAAGATGACCGCATCCCCAATTCTCCCATAACTACTACCACTAATTTCGACTACCTAAAGCAAGCCCTTATCCTCATGGAGCACGCCCTTCAAAACGAAAATACGGTACAAAATGAGAGAGATTTTTTTTTTAAAGATTAGAAATGATTATTTTAAAAAGCATTTGCGGGAAAAAATTTTGGTAAGAATTATTTATTTTGCAGGAGATATGGAAATTTTTCTATAAAAAATTTGGTGGGCCCGATTTTTTAAATGGCTTAGTTCTCCCCCCCCCCCTTTCATTAATTCTTATAATTAATTTTATATAGACAATGAACAAAGTTAGTAACGCTTAAAAAGGTAATGAATATATTAGCCTTTGATAATGAAATAATAGTCATAAAATATTTTAATGAATTTAGCTCATCTATAAAAGAGTTGATAAAAATATTTAGTCGAGTGGTATGATTTGGAATGGTGCGGATGATGATCACCTTTTAAATTTTCAAAAATAGACACCTTGAATTCAGGCCCTAAAACATTGGTAATAGATATCATTGTTCATCATTGTTCTACCACAATTAAAGTTTTTACTGATCTTAGAGTCATTAGTGATTACTGGGAAAGTATTAGACCCATCTGATGACAAAGAGCTTTAAGAATGTTGAATGGTTACTTGTATACTACTTTCGCAACCTTAGTTACATTTGCATTATATGTAATTTTGTGGACGTACATCTGTAGCATTTGATAAAGATTTATTATCGCACTGACTCGTGCTTTGATGATTTATAATGTCTCACAACATCATATTCTTTCCCAATGTTATAATTAAAGACCGCAGAACATAACCTTCATTTGGCGCGACTCACAGTTATGGCTTCATTAACTCGATATATTTTCGTTCTCATAGCTTATCATATTTATAGCAGTATTTTCCTTTTTGTTTCTTTGTCAGTTCTTGGTTTAGGATTATAAAGCATATAAAATAATAAAAGCTAATTAATTTTGTTTGTATATTTTAAATTAAAAAAAAATGATTAATGAGAAGTTTAAAAAAAAAACTAGTCTCTTTCTTGGTGGTATCTTTATTTTATCAAATATTATTAGAAATCTATACTATTTCCAGGAAGATTGTCATCTAAATTTGACATCGATGACGAATATGTTGGGTGATTTGAGCATTTTAACTTCTGTACAAATAAATTTAGGATTTTTTTGTCAATAATTTATATATAAAATTTTGAATTTCTTAGCTAAGATAACAATATAAAATAAAAAATTGTAATATAAATTTGTACTATATAAAGGAAGATTTTTTGTAGTAGTAGTTGTAGTAGTAGGTAGAGGCTGTGGGTGCTTGACATTTGTTGAAATAGGAAATTAATTAATGATTGTTTCTGCATAATTCGAAAATATGAAGGAGTTATGCTATGTTTTAAATAATTGGTTATAATTGAAATGAATTGTTCCTGCTCAAAGTGAACTATAATAAATAAAATGATTATCTTATGAAATAAAGTCCGATATAATATATATTATATGTTATGTATTTAAATATGTTATGTATTTAAATATGTTATGTATTTAAATGAATAATGATAATTTAATTAAAAGAAAATAAAAGAAAAGAAAAGAAAAGAGATTCATTCTCAAAGGGGAATATAGTCCAATCCAGATAAAATGTTACTATTCGAATTCCTAAAATTTAATAACATAAACATATGGTTATAAGAATGTCCTCTTATCATTGGATAAAACATGTTAGTAAGAAGGAAAATGTTTTTGAAAAAAAGAAAAAAAAATATTATTAATAAATCAAACACGTCTAAATGCTAAAAGTGTTAAAATCGCGGGAGATCTCTGTGTATAAACCTTAAAAAAGCGGGAGTCTCCCGCTAATGGAGGGAAACCTGGCAACCCTGTCCATGATAGAAATATAGTTCCTTAAAAAAATAATCTTCTTTTGGATCACCGGTGCATGATTAAGCCTAACTTTCTTGCCCTTTGAATAATTTTGGGGCTTGAAGTCAAAACCACCGAAACGAACAATAGAATTCTTTAGGTGGGCCGCATTTTTTCTTCTTCTTCTCGAATTTTCTGCTTCTCATGATAGGACGACTTGGTATTCTGGCAAAACGATCTGTGAAAGTGTAATTAATCCCAAGCAGGGAGTATACCTTGGTTCCAAAAGATTAGGGTTTTGTAAAGATTAAAATATTTTACCAATTTCTCTTTTTTTTTTTGGAAATTTTATTAATTTTTATAAAATATGAAATATTTAATGTTAATTTTTTTTTGAATTATAATTTTCCCGTATTTTTTCATCCTCAGAAGTTTTATTGATTAATATTCGCTATGTATCATAAAATCAAAGAAAGAATATGAGGAATGAAAGAAAAAAATGAATAGGAAATTATGTAATTCGATAAAATGCCAATCATTATTAATATTTCTCGTATAATTGTTATTCAAGGCTCAGGCGAACACCTCCCTCGAAGCCGACAAATCACAAATCAACGATATTACGGGGAATGGTGCCGTCAACGAGTACAAGGATACCGGCATGTGTGACACGTCGTCATCGGAAGCCCAGATTAGATTGGCACTCATCAAGCTTTACTACCTTATCGGTTTGTTCGATTAATATTAAATGTATATTTTTTTTCTTCAATATTTTGTCCCGAATTTTCCTAAGGTCATAATTATTAAAAAGAAAGTATTTCACCCAGAATAAGTTCAATTGGCGAAAGTACAACCCAATATCCCAGGGTGGAGCGGGCTCTAATAGCTTTATATCTCAATGGAACACGTTCTTTTACTTTCTACTTCCTATTTAGCGCAATCTCTGATAATTCTGAATCTCAGTAGAGCATGTTCTAATTAATCCTATATCACGATAAACGATTAATTTGCTTTGGTTTATATTATCATTATTTTTTATTAACAGAATTTATTATTGTTTTTTTTCTCTCTCCACTTATTAACTTTTAAATAATAATAAAAAAATCAAAATTTTAGGCGTTCCTTCCATGTGCCTAGAACATTTTCACAGTATAGACGCTAAATTTATTCAATACGATACCTTAGGGTAAGAGCAAATTTTTTTTAAAAAATCATATTTTTTTTAGCTTTTCGTTGACTTATTATTGTTTTATCATTTCTAATTCAAACTTACAACTATATCACTTAATAATTACAATACCATTCATCTTTCTGAGATGCGTTCACGGGAATTGTAGAAAAAAAAGTGAATAACAGGTCAATCTTGCTTCACCGTTTTAGTTTTTTTTTATTAAATAAGAAGAAATAGAACCGAATTCAAATGTTACAGGGTTTGCCATTGTTTTAGAACAGAGACTCATATTAAGAGAGCACAAACTGCGTAAACAACATTTTTTTTATATCTTGTTCCCATTCAATTCGAACATCATATAAAAAGAATAATTAAGAGAGCACAAACTGCGTAAACAACATTTTTTTTATATCTTGTTCCCATTCAATTCGAACATCATATAAAAAGAATAATTAAGAGAGCACAAACTGCGTAAACAACATTTTTTTTATATCTTGTTCCCATTCAATTCGAACATTATATAAAAAGAATAATTAAGAGAGCACAAACTGCGTAAACAACATTTTTTTTATATCTTGTTCCCATTCAATTCGAACATCATATAAAAAGAATAATTAAGAGAGCACAAACTGCGTAAACAACATTTTTTTTATATCTTGTTCCCATTCAATTCGAACATTATATAAAAAGAATAATAAAAGAAATGTAATTATATTCCTTTTTTTACCCATTCTTTCCAACAAATTCCCATTTAAAACGAGCAATTATTTTAAAAAATATAATTTTTTACACCTGAACTTATAATTTATCCAATAAAAATCAGCGGAATATCTCTATAAAATTATTTCAAAAATTTATGAATAAATTTATTTGCTTAAAAATAACCTATAATCTTTTTTTATTAAAAAAATATTTATAAACTTATTTTTGAAAAGCAATAAAGTTGTGACCTTTTATAGAAAAGAATTTTTACATAATTTCACCTTATAAGATTTAGAAAGTAATATAGAACCAAATTTTTTTTCGATGAGGGTTAAGAATGATATTAAGTAATTTTCTTTTTCTAAAAAGACAATCATTATGTCATCCTGAAAAAACTGCCAAATATCTTCATTAATATTTAAAAAAAATATTTTTATGCATGAAAATTACAAAAAAAAAGATTTACTTTAGGTAAAATTTGATCAAAAATCCCTGTTCTTCAAAAATAATAATCTTCAAAGATTTTTGCTCAACTATTTTGAAAGTTTTTTTTGTTTTGTTTTTATCAAACTGAAAATAATCGCGTAACAATTTAAATATTTTTTCTTAATCTTAATCGCACTCGACATTTAAATTTTTGAGTTATAAGTGGATAACAACTTATTAACTAGATTAAAAAAATATTAATCTTTTCCAAAGTTATATAGCATTGTCAAAATTCATCAATAAGGTTTTTCCTTTATTCAATTTTTAGACTTTAATGCTAGATTTTCTCATTTTAAACAGTTGCGCAAGTGGAGCAGCTGACGAAATAACTGCAAGAATTTTCACTGTTCAATTGTTCTCTCTTTTTATAACCCACGAAATAAAAGAGAATCTTTTAAACCATTGCTATTTTATTTTATTTATCTTTTTTAAAAAAAAAAAATAAGAAATTTCGTTATCTACCCCGCTTTCGCGTTTGCCCATTTTTCTTCCCTCAAAACTTGCTTCGAAAATATCATCAAATTTTACGAAAATTCTTACAAAAATGTAAAATTTCGAAGACAAATTTTATAAGATAATACAATTTATTTATAATTATAAATTTAAGCGTTTTACCTATTTTTTTTTAGAAAGAAAGAATGAAATAAAAAGTAGGAGGAAGAAAGATCTAAATGATCACTTTCCCTTGTCACTTTATAGAAGGTCAGTAATGGCGCCAATTTTTTTAAAAAAAATTAAGTTTTTTTTAGAATAATTTATTTTTAAATTTCATTAAATTTGTATTAATTGTTTGAACGATTTTATTTATTTTCACAGATTTGGGATTATAGCGTTACAGTGGTCAAAGTCAATTTTTTTCAAGTTTTCTTTTTATTTTCATGATTTTTTTTTTCATCAAGTTTTTTTTAGTTTAGTTTCGTTTTCAAAACACGAATTTATTTATTTATATAATATAGATTTTTTTTGGCATTTAATGTAAACCAGAGAAAACACCCAATACAATCTTTTTTAGAACAGATACCCGGATCTCGAGAGAGAGATGAAAGAGTGAAAGAGAAGGAAGGAAGGTAGAGAGAAAGAAAGATATTGTACCATCAATACCTTTATTTTAAGAAAATTTATAAAAATTAATTTGGTAATCGATATCGAGTTATTAGGAAATATCGATTGGTGAAAAAAAAATTCAAAATAATTTTGTATCGGCACATCTCTGATGTACATTATTGGTCACATATTAAATGATGATTAAAAAAACACAATGAATCAATTTCCTTGAACTTCGACATTTTGTTTTGGAAAAAAAAACTTACCAAAGGATCTGCTTGTTTTTTTTTGGAAAAGATCTGGAGGTTTCCCTGATAAGAAAGTTATCGATTTACATATATTTTTGGCAAAGGGGGAATAAGAAAGAATTATCTTGGTTCATTGCTAAAAAAAAACAAAGTCTTCTCTCTTGTTTTCCATTATGATTTTTATTTTGAATTGAAAAATGTCCATAGGTGAACAAAACAATTGGGGGCCAAAACTTGTTTTTTGTTTCTCTCTGACTTTTTCAAGTCTGTGCCAACCTGGGATCCCAGGAAAATCTCTAACTTGGGATTTTCTCTCCACTCTTGTTGTTTTCTAGAACTCTCTTGCGTTAATAATATTCATTGAAATTTTTTTTAAAAAATTATTAAGCTACGAAATAAAAGCTTAACGAATGAAACAATAGAATTTCTATTCCTCCTCCAAAAAAAAAATGGAAATTGGAAATTCTTATTTTTTAGCGATAGTATTATTATTATATATATATATATATTATATTGTAATTAATTTGAAATATATAAACAGATTTACGACTTTGTGGACTTTAAACGACACCTGACCCATTCCTTAACTCGCCATTTTATAAGTGTGGAATCCATTTTGTTAGATCTTTTGACGGAGGCCGACAAGTGATAATACTTTCTTTCTTTTTTTTGAGACAAAACATTAAATTATCCATTTTGTCTGTTTAACATTTTGTTACGGACTAACAAAGTAAATAATTTAAATGAACTCTTGAGTTGGTACGGTCAAAAGTAAATAAATAACGCGAATGCTAAATATCTTCTCACTTAGGAGTCCATTTATCTGTTCGCCTACTCGCCTCATCTTGACCAGAAGGCATCTGAGTCAAATTATGCTTCATGCACGACAGGACTGGGCTTTCCCTTTTTTTTTACTAAACATGGATGATATTAAATTTTGTTTTTAAATAATTCTTTATTTTTAATGGAGTTATATGAATATTTTTTGCTTAACATTCAGTTACGAATTGGTGGAAGAGATTCTCGATTCTGTTCCGCTCAAAAATTTGCAAGATTTGGAAATTGATCGATTTTGTGACAATACCGATTATTACATATTGGACAATTACCAATCCAATCAGAAGTTTGATTGGGAAATTTTGTTCGGGCAAAAGAAATAGAGATTAGAATATGATATAGTATGTGGAGAGGAAAAAAAATAAAGAAGGAAATGAATGAAAAGTAAGAAAAAAAGAAGGGAGGGGGACCAAATAAATCAGTCAATAAGACAGAATTTAAATGGTCAATTCATATGGATGGTTTTATTTTGTTTTCTCATAAATGCTATAATACAATTTGTTGATTTTAGATTGGATTACGAAAAGGTCATAGAGGAAAATGGCTACCAGGAGGTTTTATTTAAATACAATTTTTCATAAATTTGTGTTTTTTTTAAAAAAAAATTTCTCGAGTAGAAATTTGATTTTCAAAATAATCATTGAAAAGGCCCTTCAAACCTCAGAATAATAAAATGTTTGAATTAAAACAATAATTAGGGGCGTTTTGGCCTTTAGAATCGCTTCTGTGATTTTGTTCTGTTTTTGAAAATCGGTTCCTGACAGAACGGTGACCTTCAACAATATTTATTTTTGGATTTGAATAATTTGATTTATATTTTTATTTCTGAAATTTTTATATAAGAATATACGGTATTTTTTTTTTGAAAGAAACAATGGATAACTCTTCGTAACCGTATCCTCCACACCCTGACCATATGCACTGTCATGGGTTCCGACAAATACGCGTCGCAAACGCGTCAATCATCAAACCTATCCCATCAACCCGGTCGACCCACGCGTCCATTACCCTACCCGAAAAACGACCCAAAATTTGGGGAAACGCCCGAATTTTTAGCGCACTACAAAAAAGAGTGCATTTTCAAATCGCTCGTCATAACTTTCGTGGATATCTTAATCCAGCGGCGCGAGATGGCCCTTTATTTCGCTCATTCCAAAGATAACACGGACAAAGAATCTGATCGGGATGACAGCCATCCTAGCGCGAATCAAACGCCTAACAGCAGAAACGAAGATTTGAAATTTCAAGTTAAAAAAGAAATATGTCAACTAGGACGGGTTCATAGCACTCTACAATCGGGGGGAGGGGGGGAAATTAATTTTCAAAGTTGTCCCCTACATTTATAATCAAGCTTTAGAGATTATTTTGGAATCTAGAGATTTTCCCCGCCAAAATCGTTCAGCCACATTTTTTTTGAATTGTTGAGAGGTATGAAACCGTTCTAGGTATTTTTGCGGAATTTTGGTCCCCTTGATGCGCAATAGTATATATTTCTTTTAATAACTAAATAAAATCTTGAGTTTTTAGCTTAATTATTTGACTCTAATTATGTATAAAAAAGACAATTTTTTTTTAAATATAAAAACAGCGAAAGAAAAACAATTCAAAAATGCTTATTATTTTAACGTAATTTTGAAATACACATTAAATTAATAAAGTGAATATTTCTATTATAGAAAAAAAATGGCAAAGTTAATTATTTTTATATAAAAATTTAATATTACAAAATGAGCGAATATTATAATTGATTATGAAATTATATGAAATTTCCAGAAAAATATTGGTAGATAAAAATAATTTACATTAAAATATTGCTGGATTATATTTCCCGTAAGATTATAGCAGTAATAAAAAATTTGAAAAAAAGGGAAGTTTTTTTTTAAATTAAAAAACACATTTCTTCTTTAAAAACAGTTAGATTATTTTCACCCTCTACATCTAATTAAAGTATGTTATCTTGAAATAAAAAAAAATGCAGAAAACGTTAAACTTGTAAATAGACTCAGTTTGAATTTACTAATTATTTTTAAAAAAATAAGGTTTGAACATAGCCGTTAAATCATCGCTAGACATACAGAAAAATCTGTGATGGTGACTATAGTAGTAGGGATGGAAAAAAAATAATGATTTTAGATTTTTTTTATTTTACTACTACAATCTTATGGAAAATCAAATCTACCAATATTTTATATTTAATTTTTTATTAGGCATCATTATGTTGTATGAATAGACATAATCGGCCCTAATTTCCATTCCAAGGTGTTACCGCATATTTAAGAATCAGCCGCAGCACTCCAGGTTATCCTGCTTAAAAAACGATATTTTTTGAAGGAAAAAAAATATGGATGTTTTAAATTATCAAATACATAATGTTAAATTATACGGCTATACCATAGTTTAGCCATGAATTTACGTATCGCGTGAGAGACATTATGGTATTTCGCGATTACTATAAATGAGGCCTAATTCTATAATCACTTTTTTCCCGCCTGTTTTAATACTTTACTTTTTTTTTCTTCATTCAGAAATACAGGCTTTACGGACCCTTCCCTTCCAACCTCCCAATCTACCATTTCAGTGATGGTCTTTACCTGAATCCCATTATCAATTGCGTTTCGCTGGCTATCGTCATCAATTTTATCCTGTACAATCCATCGTCAAATCACACTACGCCAGATCACGTGGATCGCCCGAAAGATGGTTGGTTAACTAAATTTTAATTTAATTGCCTAACTCATTATATTGAAGACAAACGTTTATAATACATAAATTTGACCCAAGTTTTTAAATGGCCTTTCTTACAGATAAGCCAACATCGAATAAGAAATTCGTTATTGGCAATGTTGGAATCGAAACATAACGAAATAATATTTGAATAGGCCTACTATAAATTAGGAGCATTTTTTCTACAGAGAGAAAGAGGAACGATGATGCGATATTTGGGATAGCACTCAGTGTAACGAGATGTTATAAAGATTTTTGATATCCTTCACCCCGTAAATTCGAACCGAGATCGAAGTAACCGGTTTGATTCTAGAATTCTATATTTTAAAGAGGGTTTGTGAACCGGCCCATACTTTTAAAGGGTTCGAATCTCTGCCTTACCATTTTGATCGAAGAGTATGGGAATATGATAATATCCCATTTATTAATCTTCCTCATTTGAATAAATCTATTTTAACATTAGCTTTATTAAAAAAATATCCCCCATTTTTTGAAAGAATTTGCCGTAAATTAGTCAAATGTAACCTTTTATAGCAAAGTAAATGCCAGTTAAATTTTTGTTTCTTTTACTGCTAAACAATGAAATCCAGAATGCGAAAATAATTCCGACAATCAGATGATCGATTTGTTGAGGAATTTTAAGGGGGTCCGTTTGGTCTCGTTCTCCAAGGACGATACCAAGTTGGCTAGTAATGAGGACCAGAATCTCGAAACAAAAAATTCTCAACCGACTGAACTATTGGACACTGACAACAACAGGCTATACGAGATCATCGAAAAAATGATGTTTCCAAACGATAATAATGCCGCCATTATTAACTCAAAAGAGATTGGAGATTTAAATCTGAAAAGACAAGATAAAAATATCAGGGCCATTTACAAGCAGAATATTGAGCACATCAAATCTTCCTTCCAAAGTTTTAATGAATGATTTATTATTGATCTACTTTAATTTGTAATTTGAGGGTATGTATTATTGATCTGATTCGCATATGGGCAAAAAGATAATGTTAGTTCTTATAATATAATGATATGAATATATTGATTTGATTCGAATTCATCATACGGGTTGGGTTATATAGGTTACTTTGATCGAATTTATATTTGTTTTAATTTTATTTTATTTCTAACGGACATTTTTAAAAAATAAATAAGCTATCACCAAATTCATAACAGACGATTACAAGGACAAAATTCAATTTTCGTCTGTTTCTAGTTTACCTCGTTTACACGAAATATCTCAGGGATTCCCCACATATTTCAATTACAATCAACGTTCAAACCACGCCGCCACATTGTCTAATCATAATCATTGCAACAATCTAAAATCCTCCACTAACAAAATCGATTCCGATAATTTCATCCTGGAAACGGCATCCAAAATCTATCATCTTAGGTTCGTTGTAGAGGTAAATTTATCCCTTTGCTAGAGAAGATTTCGCGTTATATACTTTTGTTACTATAGTTAAATTTAGTTTAGGTTCTGACTTCATTTTGCGCGTTGATCTAGGATCTCTAATAAATAATAGAATAAAATACAGTAAAAAGAAAAAAAAACATAAAAGAATTGAAGATAAAATCAGAAGAAAAAAAGGAATAATAAATAAATAAAGAAAATAGAGCAGACTTAATTTAGTTGGGGGAGAGAGCGAGGGTGGTGAATAAACAGCCGAGCTTACTATCCCGAATTCCGCTTCAAAAAGAAAGCGTTACGGAAAATATAATGTATATGATATTTATATTTAAAAATAAATTAAAAACAACCGAAATAAGACTTACGGTCTGACTTGCCTCTACCTTGGTTCCATATACCGACTATTACAACCAGTCAAAATTCGTGCCAACAAAAAGATGCAATCAAAAAAAAAACAAATCCCTCACGGTTCCAACAAAGCCGATAAAGATGGCGCTAATTACTTCGAAGATTCCGAAATGATAGTTAAAAAAATAAATATTATAAATTTTTTTTTCAACGGTAACCACTTATAGTTGGGTAAAAGCTCTACCGGCTGAGGCTAATCGAAATTTTAGCCGAACTGTCACCTCAGCCTCGAGGTTTCTACTTAAAATTTAGTTCAACTTTGAAGAGAGCAGATATTAATCACTCAATACTTAACGAATTTTCTTCGGCGTACAGCCATAGATTAGGTTAAATTAGCCGATTTTTAGCCAATATCCAACTATAGTGTCCACCAAAAATTAAATTTATTTGTTCATACGCTCACACTCCCCTTTAATAGTTAAATAGGACATTTACTTGAAATCAAATTGCCTAAACTTAGAAATATAGTATGGGTGTATATAACCACTCTCTCATTTCTCCTCATTAATTTTCTTTGTACCTACTCTTTTCCGAAACAGAACCAATTGTACGAAGACATTCGCGTACTTCTAGTCCATCTTAACGTACGCGTTTATACAGACCTATCCTGCGCGATAAAAATGATTGCTTTCGATATAAATACTTACTTAGAACAAAATCAAAGTTTCGCGCATCCCGATCATCCATCCTCCCCTTCCGCCGAAGAACCACTTAACGAAATAGTGAACGCGTTTGAATTAGGAAGTTTGGGGAATATTCTAGAGGTAATATTTGGCTCATCTCATATTATTGGATCCTCTTTGGTTGTATAAATTAAAATGATTAGTGGATTTTATATGGCTCCCTTTCTATTGAATGGACTCGGCTGATTCCATTTAATCGGTGCTCCTGGTCATACTTGTCCCAGTTTTTGGTCTGAAAGACCACGTGGTGTCAAAATCACTGTCCACTCTATTAAATCGATTATTGAGAATTTTGTTGCGTATATTTTTAACCTCATTTTATTTTCCATGAGGGATATACCTTTGGGGCAGGGTTTCCATGTCTCCACCCATCATTGGGAGACTCCCGCAATTTTTTAGTTTATACGCAGACATCTCTCTCCCGCAAAACTACCGTAATTGGAAATCTACCGCAATTTTTTTTTTTAGTATTTTAACATTTTTAATAGATAAATAATAATTTTGAGATATTAATTGATTATTTTTATATTTTTTTTAAAATATTTATTCGAAAAACATGTCTAGTTTGTAAATTTATTTTTATCCTGTTTTATTTTTATCCAATAATAAATTACCATTATTTCATTAATATAAGTCAGTACAGGGGAGTATATCAACATCGATTGCAATACAAAAATATTCTCAAATAATAAATAATAAATAATACAGATGCAACTACATTTGCGGAAATCGTATACATCTATCATGTAGTTCAACATTCACAGAGCTATATCATCACAATGTGGGTCGAATCTTTTTCTTATGATATTTTATAAATACAAACCTTACTTGTGGCAGAACAAAAATGAGCAAGGCTATCACAAGTGTTTTAGTACCCGAATCCTAGGGGTCAATTCTAGACTATTTGAAAGATGGGCATCCATATGCAATTCTAACAGATACAACTAATAAGGGAAATATTAAAACATTTCCCTAGATCCTTCGCCATTTCAACAAGATTAAGAACATTTCAATAAAACTCTTAAAAATTTTTCCACGGATAGTGAAAAATCTAACGATGTAGCTAGCCTCATAATGGTAAATATAGCTGATTCAGGGTTATCAATGATTTACATGTCAGCTTTCTGCGCTGATAATGCCTCTGTAAATTTTGGCAAAAACTACCGAATTGAGGCAGCACAATAATGAATTAATACCAATTGGCTGTATATGCCATATACTACATAATTCTTACAAGGCAATAAATGTACTATCTGTGGATGTCGAAATAATTGTGATGAAATGTTTTAATGAATTTAGTCATCAACTAAAAGAGTTAATGAATTAAAAGAGTTGGTGAAGTGGTCTGACTTGGAATGGTGCGAGTTGTTGCGATATATACCTATCAGATGGTTGTCATTAATACCTGCCATCGATAGAATTTTAAAATTAACCCTTAAAAAAATACTTCTTAAATAGAAATTTTAAAAGCTGTCCTAAAATTTTGAAAATTTTTTTCGAGTATGAAATGGCAGAAGCATATTTGGGATTCGTTTCACATGTAGGAAATCTACTTCATGCAGTTAATATTTAGTTGCAATCAGAATATTTTTTAAAAAATTCACAAAATCATGATATAGCTCTGTTCATCTCTACTGTTAAAAATTAATAATAAATTTTATGGCGCTATTGCTAAAATATTATATTAAAATGTTCAAATTAATATATTTTTAAATAAAGCAGATATTTTTATTAAGACACTTTTAGAATATTTACAATCAAAATTTGATTTTAATATACAATTGTTTAAATATTATGACCTTGGAACAAAAACCATCAATGGATGGTTTTTATAATTTAATAAATATATTAAAAATACAGAAAGACATTGATTTCTTGTTTTAGGAGATTGAATTTTCTCTATTTTTTATGATTCGCCAAAATACTTAAAATTAGATGGTCTAAAAGCAGAGGATAAATGGGTAGAATTTTTTCGTAATAACGATAAATCCCCATGCTTGGAAAAAATATGCGAGTATGTATTCTCCTTATCCCATTCTAATGCCTCATCCGAGCGCTTTTTTAGCCTGATGAGGACTGCCGGGAAAAAGGGGAGATTGCTTTAACAACATTAGAGGCCGAGCTAATGGTTACATAAATATACAATATGTCATGCCAGGAATTTTATAAATATCTCAATCGGTAAACATTTAGTTCTATTATTAAAATCTCAAATAAAATATAATTAAGTTTTAGCAATGGCGCCATAAAATTTATTGTCAATTTTTAACTGTAAAGATGAACACATCTGCAGCATAATTTTGTGAATCTTTGTAAAGATTCTTCTGATTGCAACTACACATTAACAGCATGTAGTAGATTTCCTACATGTGAAATCATTCCTAAATATACCTCTGCCATTCATTATTGAAAATTTTTTTAAAATATTAGGACAGCTTTTATAATCTTTATTTAAGAAATATTTTTTTAAATGTTTATAAAATTTTAAAATTTTATCGATGGCGGGTATTAGGAACATATCGCAACCAACATTGTGCTGACTCAATTCTGTAAATACACTCTGTTTTTACCAAATTCACTGAGGCATTATCAGATCAGAAAGCTGACATGCAATTTATTTATAATCTCGAATCTGCTATATTTACCATTATATGGTTAGCTATGTCTTTGGATTTTTTACTATTTGAGGGGAAAAAATTTAATAGTTTTATTGAAACCCTTAATTTAGATGAAATAGCGGAGCTTATTAGATGCATCTGTTAGAATTGCATATGCATGCCCATTTTTCAAATCGACAGGAATTGACCTCCTTGATTTAGGTCCTAAAACATTGATGATAGCCTTGCTCATTTTTGTTCTACAAGTATAGTTTTCATTAATATTAGAGTCGTTAAATATTATGGGGAAAAGATTTTACCAACATTGTAATGTTAAGTATCTCTGTGAATGTTGTACTACAAGATAAGTGATTACAATTGCCGCAACTGTAGTTTCATCTGTATTATTTCTTATTTTAGGAGTACCTTATTATGTATTTAAACGTGATAATTAAGCCACACACACGGTAGATTTCCAATTGCGGTCGTTTTGCGGGACATTCGCATAAAATATATTTTTAATTGTAAAATTAAAATCGTTTTTTTTTATAAAATTTTATCTTGTTTACATTCTTTTATATTTAAAAAAGATCGTTGGTTTTTTTATATATTTTAATAAATCAAAGATGTTATTTTTTTTTGAAAAATAGTTACCGACTTTGTATTTATATAAACTAAATAAATAATAAAAGGCGGATAATTAAGTCAATTAAAAATTTTTTAGCAATTATTATATTTCTCCCGCATAATACCAAATTTCTCCCGCAATTTGAAAATTTTGACATGGCAACCCTGCTTTGGGGATAGGGAGGGGCATGGGGAAAATAATTTTTTAACTCACCATTTTAAATATGCAAAAAAAATTTTAGAAAAATATTATTTATTTAATTTATACAAATTAATAAACAAGTTGTGAAATCTGAGCATAATTATTCGTTATATTTTTTGTGGAGATCCAAGAAAATTTACTAGGAATCATTAATTTACAATGTCTTTCTGCTGAAAGCATTACTAATTGTATTTCAAAGCAACTTGATGAATTAAATAATAATTTATCGAATATAATAAATCTGGCTGAAATGGAGGAGTACAAATCCTCCTATAAAAAAATTAATAAATAAGGGCCTTATATACATTTCTACAACCACAAGTTGCTTGGTTCAAAATTGGTATAATAATATTGTTATCATATTTGATTTAGCTAATACATTGTATAATTTTTCTAGGCGTTTTAACGTATCCTTTAAATATTCAGACCATACTCTTAAGAGACTTTTAGACCAGAGGTGGACTGGTCATTTAGAAACAGCTCGTATCATTGATAAGAATTTTTAGGCTATTGGTGAAGTATTAGTTTACTTCTCTAATGGAACTTCTAATTCAAATGATGAAATCATGATTCTATCGGAGCCTCTGGTCTCTTATCTCGAGGTATTATTAACAATAGATCTACTAAATAAGTATCTACAGTCAGTAGATACATAATGGATGCTAAAAATTGTACCGATTCCACAATTAATATATTTAAAAATAAAAGAGGTGATAAATTATGGCGTGTTACCTCCAAATTATTTTCTCTCATTAAGGAGGCTGCTTTGAAAACAATCATATTGCTTATAAGTCAATCTTTTTTTATCATCATTTATTATGCAACCAAGCTAATAAACAATTATTTATATTCTGGAGTTGTAGCGAATCCAATTTTTCCTAGTAACCGGATTTTAAAATTTTTTAGTTACCCGGCGGGATCCGATAACGAAATGATCCGAATAGGGGATATCCGGACCCGGTATACGGATTTTAGATTCAGTGCATCCCTATTGATATATTTTATATATTAATGCATTACGCGTTAGTTAATTTATAAATACAATTATATAACCATGTAAAGCCCGAACATCTATCCAAATTGAATCTGCCGAAAGACCTCTATTTAAAAATATCGACCAGTTATCAAAAGTCGTTTTGCGAGCTACATAGGATGCTTAACACGGCGTCGCAATACATAAATTCCTTGCAAATACCTAAATCTTGACTTCATATTTTTTTGAGACGAAACATTATTTTTTTTAACATCTAAAATAATCTATCTTTTTCTCTTCTTTTCTTAATTTTTTTTTTATACAATGATCTTTTTCCACATGTGCAAAGAAAAATCCAAAATTATTATTCGCGCAAATATTTTTAGTTTGTAATTAAAAAATATGGCATTTATGTATTCAAATTACAGATTGGAAAATATCAAAAACCATAATTATTTTAAAATCAAATTTGGTAAATTCCAATTTTCATTTTAAAAACTCTGAATTATTTTATTTTTTGTGACCAATTTTTATTCGCTGGAAATTTTTTTTTACCAAATTTTTTTTAGCTAATTATTTTACTTAGCAAAAAAAAAATTATATTTTTATACAAATCGTATAATTTATAAAAATCGCTTAAATGATGTTTTTATCACGTTTGTACCATATTTGTACATTAAAGACATGATTATTATTTTTTTATAAAGTTATCTTAACGAATATAATATTTTTTTGCTCATTAGAAATGAATAGTATAATAATAATAATGGTATCAAAAGCGTCGTCCGACGAAAACACATGAATAAATATTCTTCTGTTTTTTTTATGGTAAACTAAGAATAAAAAAATATATATAAGGTCTAAAGTATTAAAAAAAATGGAAGCAAAGGAAAATCTCAGTAGTCTTATTTTTAGATTTTCAGTATATGAGCTTGATTTGACATGATTAGCTTAGCAGTGCTGTATTCTATAAATGAGTATCGGATGTAACCGATGAATTAATTGGCGATATAAGTTGTGGAATATTTAAATTTTTAATTTAGGTCGGAATTATATAGATATAAAATTGATAAATCATTCTTCTGCCGCAATTATGTGGCTGAACCTAAATATGATAATAATCTAATATCATAATAGACTTAAAAAGATCTGAAAAATTCGATACTTTAACTGGTGTTGTTAAACGGCTCGATTTTAGCCGATTTTCAAAAACGGTTAACTCAATATTTTAGCCAGAAAAACATTGCCTAAGTCTCGAGATTTCGCTAATAGATGTCCAAACTTCTTGAACTATAAGCAAAATCTTCAGGCTTGTCTAATATTTTTCTGGATAAAATATTGAATTAGCCGTTTTTAAAAATCAGCTCGAATCTAGCCTTTTAGCAACACTACTGTTTGTCTCATTCCATTAATCTATAACCTATTAATTCTCTTATCAAACATAGTTATAATCAGAGACCTGTACCATTTGTACTGCCCGGCCCGGCCCAGATTAAAAAGTTTTCGGCCCGGTCCGGATTTTTTTCCAAAAATTTTTTACGGCCCGGCCAGGGTTTAAAAATTTTAGGCCCGGCCCGAATATTTTAAATTTTTAGGCCCGGCTCGGAATTTTTAAAAATATATTCGACCTGGTATATTCAAAGAATTCATTATTTCGTGTTTTATCATATTTTTCGGCGAGTATTATCATTTAATAAGCAAGTATATTAGCTAATATTGTTAAACGGCTCGTTTTGGGCCGATTTTTAAAAACGTCCGATACTATATGTCTAGACCTTTGCTCCTTCTATGAGCAAAATTTTCAGGCTTGCATAATATTTTTCTGGATAAAACACTGAGTTAGCCGTTTTTAAATATCGGCTCAAAACGAGCCGTTTAACAACACTAAATACTTTATTTTATTTTTATTCTAAACAGATATTTAGTATATTACAAATTGATACTATAAAAAATTTGTGTAAATAAAATTTTGAGAATATACTATGTATTTATAAAAAAAATAAAAATGATATTTTTAATAAAAAATATAACATATTATATATTATATAATAATGTATTTAATCCTTTGCGTATTTATTACATGGCAGGAAAACTATAATTTTATTATGTAATAGATACTATGAGTGTTAGCTAGTGTTAACTCTCACCAAACATTATATTAATCATAACTATATATAATCATTATAACCATATCTAATTGACGAATATAATAATTCAAGTTGTATAAATTTTTAAAAAAAATACGGCCCGGCCCTGTATTTTTAAAAATTTAAAATGCGGCCCGGCCCTGGTATCCGGACTTAGGGCCGGGCCTGCAGGTCTCTGGTAATAATATTAAACTTATCAATAATTAGGAATGTAAATCTCCTTGTAAGTCATAAAGGGAAATCTATGGATAAAAACAGGTAATAACGAAAAACAAATGAAAAATGTGGAAATTTTATTTATAAAAAATTTTACCATGCAATATTATTTTTTTTGATGTAGACTATCAATGTGTCAACTGACTTAATTTCGATTGTGTCTATCTTTTGAGGAAAGACCAAATCGCATCTTCAACATCAAGAATTAATCAGGGATGTGAACCCGGACCCTGAACCCTCTTATTTTGGCTGAACCCGGACCCTTTTTAAAAGTGGAGGTCCAAGGGTTCTAGGTGTCATAAAAAATTTTAAAAATAAAAATTTTTTTAAAAAAATAATATAAATTTTATTAACTTTTTTTGTGGAAACATTTATTTTATCTTCGCGTTTTTCTTTTAATTTTCTTCCTGGACTTCCATATATCATAAATTATTTTCCAGTGTAATAATATTTTAATGTAAATATTTATTAATATGCTATGTTATAGAAATATGCTATGTTATAGAAATATGTTGATTATTTTGAAAGTGAATTATTTTGTAGTACAAGTAATAATATTTTAAGTTAATGATAATGCACAAAACGTTGGTCCTTAATTTGTATGATGCTAGAACGATTATTAAGTTAGAAAGATTTTGTAATGATTTTATTATAGGAGCATGTGAGGTCATTTTGTCGGAAGATGATTGGTGCCAAATAAAGAACCTTACTAGTGTATTAGTTCCTTTAAAAATAACAATATTAAGATTACAATCAGAACAATTATGTTTATTTAATTTTAAGGCATATGGATTAGATGTCAATTAGATTAGGAAAATTTACAGTCCTTTTTATACGAAACATTAGCAAAACATGAAATTCGAGAGCAACAATATTTGCGAAATAGTGCTGTATATGCTTTTATACATTTAAAATTTTATTGAGTATTGAGCAAAAACAAATGGCCAAAGACCATCTTAAGGATTTATGGCATACGCAAAATTCCATACAATATATTGGAGGTTACGGCAATACCTACTGGTTGTAGTGATTATAATAATAATGATAGCAACATTGATGATCTTGAAATTTTACTTTAAATAGAGAAAAAAAAATCAAATCTTCATCAGATAGAAAGGAGGATCAAAAAATGCCTATTGCATCTTTAATATTATATCAGAAGCTATAGAATATATAAGGATATTATAAATATTTTAAAATTCTGGAAAGAAAATTCTTCAATATATCCAGAATTATATATCTAATCTAGAATCTTCATGGCTGTACCGGCAACACAAGTACAATAATTTTATAAAGATAACGAACGTGAATTTTAATCTTTGAAATATATATTGTCTACTTTAAGTGGAAATCTCAAGGATGATATTTTAGAAGATATTATGATTGTGCGAGAATAAAACATTTAAAATATAAATTATTTCATTTTAAAATTTTTCATTTGTAAATTATGAATATGTATATATTGAAATATAAAAATAAATGAATGAAAAAGAAAATCTTATTTTGAGTTATTATTTTTATGTTCCCTGAAACCGAACCCTGTAACCGGGTCCTTTCAAATTTTACCTGGATTCTTTTTTTTTGGTCGAAGGGTTCACATCCCTGGAATTAAGCAAACAGTCAATTAGAGATATCTAATAAAATGGATATTCACACTGATGAATCCGATCTTCTTGTTTTTATCAAATAATTTTTCGAGATTGTGAAAAAATGTTTTCATTGTAATTTAATTTAGTAATGAAACATTAATAATTTAAAACTTATGATAAATATAAATCTAACATATAATAGTTGAGTATCCCAAACAATACATTTATAAGAAAACATCATTTATATTGCTTAATCACAAGCTGACTTTTATGGTTGTTTAAATTATAATAGTCTTGAATGCCACCTTGTGGATGTGGATTTGTAGGTAAGTGATTTAAAGCTCTTCTACCATAAAAACAAAAAAATTACATTTCTATTTAAAAATAACACGTATATTAAATAGAGATTCGCCCATTAAGGTTGAGTATCTGGCTGAGATTAGATCTTTTGAATGCTTATCGATTGATACCCTATATTCCACATATCTACTTTCTAAGGCTAAAAGAAACAATTTTGAAAATAAATAATAATATTTAAAAAAGCGAAACGCTCGTAATTTATAATAAAATTCCTCTATCGTCATTACAACATGATAATACCGTTTTATCATTCCTTAACTTAAAACCCTAATTTTTAGTTATCCTTTAAAATCCATATGATGATTCCTGATAGGTCTGTTCCCTTTAAAAATTATGGCAAATCAGTCATTATTAAAATAAACGTATTTCTGAATAATTTTCTACTACTTTTATATACAAATTCTATCAACAAATTCATATTCATGCCAAATATTAATAACTTTTTTTATATTTACAAATTTTTTTATAGTTTGTAGTAGAGTATTGATAATAAAATTTTTTTTTAATATATAAAGATTGATTACCATTAAATTTAAAACTGTAATTAATAAGGTTATGTTATCGCCGCCAAAGATAACAAGATGGGCGAGGGGGGTGGGGGTAGGTAAAAGTCTATGAGAGGGTTTTGTCTACAGGGAGTATTCTGTCGTGTAGACATTGCTAAAACCTAATTTTTGGATTTAAAAATGTGTATCCTTTCTAAAAATATGGCATTTGGGAAAGGTTAGAAAGAGGCGCATGTATGAAAATGATTATTTAGCATGATTTTTTCAGTCTAATCCGTAATGACTTTTCCAGTACTGGTTAAAAAATATATTTTTTGCCAAGTTGTTCTACTTGATTCCCTAATAATCTTCTTTGCAACAAAATGGTATATATTTGCTTAATTATCAACTTTAAAAATTTCCAAACTTCACCCCGTAAAAATATTTTGAGCAAATATAAACTAAGGTAAGTTGTCAGGACTAGCTTCCGGACTTGGCTCTAGTATGTAATCAGGTCAGTATCATCTCTAGGGGGGGCTTGAGTTCCCTGAATAATTTCAAGAGAGCCCCCTCAAAATTTTGATTTTTTTACCAAATATAATTTGATAATGTTGGCTTAAAAAAAAGAAAACTAATTTTGAAAATGTTAGGTCAAAAAGTCGTAATTTTGAAGCGAGTGACGCTTATGTCAATGGAACATTTTATTAGATTTATATGTTGGTATAAACCAGCGTCTACATGACAGGATTTTCACTGGATGCAAACCCCCTTCAAAAACCTTTGCCTACCCCCCTAAAAAATTCCCGCCGCCTTCGGCGGTGATGTCTCTTTATCATTATTTTCACCTATTTATTTATTGATACTCTTTTCAAATAATTTATAAAGGATAACTTAAATTAATAACTATCGATATTTTGTGAATATAAAGAATTTATTTTTTAGATAATAAATTTAATTAAAACCTCCATTATTTACAATGAATTAATTATTATGGCATTATAAGCTTGCTGAAATATCTAAACCTTTTAAATTATATTTAAAAGGATAGTTTATTTGGAAAACAATGTGTATGATTGGTTGCAATATATAGATTTGGTCGATGAATTATATTATAATAATACTTAAAAGTATTAATTTTTACAGCAATAAATTTTGTCTTATTTCATCTCAAAATTTAATAGATAACCCCCTAAAAAATTTTATCTTACCCCCATGCAGCTTACCCCTTACCCCCTCAAAAAAAATAGGATGCAAACTGTTCCTACCCCTCCCGCTCATGTAGACGCTGGTATAAACAAATATAAAAATATATAAAGGCATAATTCTTTGAAATTTCTTTAATTTAAATTATTCATATAACGTTAGGTATAGATTTTCTAAATCAATAGAAACTATATTTTATTAAAAAGATTTATATACCTTAAAAAAGACTATTTTTCGCGTTAGCAAAATATTGTGAATTTATTCATAATGCTAGAGTTAGTCAATTTTGTTAGGACTAGGTTTTAAAATTTAATTGAAATATTATAGGAAATATACCAATTGTAAATTATAGCTTTAAAATAGAAATCGATAATAAATCTAAAAAAAATTTTATACAAATGTTATTAAGCAACTCAAATTTTTTTAAAAATTTAAAAAATAAAGTGGTGCTCAATTCTTTTTCAAAACTTTACCAAGTCTGCCATGGAGACCTTAAAATTGATGACGAATAGGTTTGACTGCAGCCTCCTGCATGGTATGTCCTTCATTAAATTCTATACATAGTTAAATATAACTTGCTTATGAAAATGATTAAAAATTTAATCATTTATATATTATAGTTGATAAACAAATTATACCTTTAATCATAATGTGATACAGGATAAATAAATATAAAACATAATCTTAATAACATCCTTAACTTGAGATACGTTTTATTTATATTACTCAGCAGTAGCGTCTTAGAGGAGGGAGGCATTGGCTTGAGCCCCCTAAAAAATGTGTAAGTTAGCTAAAAGGAAAAAAAAAGGTAATTTAAAATAGTGTTAACTAAAAAAAGAAAAAATTTTAGAGAGGAAGACAATAGAAAATTTGCTATGACTTTTCCCCCCTTATATTCATTGTTTCCTCTATATCACAGATCTCGTTATTGTATATTATTGCTTTCTTAAGATATTAATCATATAGATATTAGTATAATTTAAATTTTGTTATTAATTATATTAAGTAACTGAATTTTCATGACTTGATTATTAAAATATTTAAAATGAAACTCTTTTCACGTTTTAGCGTAGAATCAGCTGATTAACAATAATCTTTGTTTTAAATTTTTTTATGTATCGCAAATTTTTTTAAATCTATTTTTAACTTATGCACAACTCATTTAGAATTAACATGATCATGTTTGTCATAAAATTATAGCAAATAAATTTAGACAATATTATTTAAAACTTTGCTCAAGATTTAATTATTATATTTTAATCAACCTATATGCATCAATGTACCAATAGATTTTTATATTATTTGATTCTATTAAGACCATTGAGATTATTTGCCACCAAAAATCAGGGAAAAAGCTTCAAATTCTAAATTCAATCACAATCATAATTATACATTTTTTTAAATTTACTTTGGAATGTATGGAAATTGCATAATTTAAAGGTTTAACTTTATATACTTTTTGTATAATTCTAATTTATATTTTTTAGAAATGGATCATATTAGTAATGGCAAAGCCAACAAATTAGATCTTAAGGTATCATTAAAACGAAGATTGACACTCTTGAATAGTATAAGCCTAATTGCTGGTTCTATCATTGGCTCAGGTATATTTGTATCTCCAAAATCTGTTTTAGAGCACAGCGGGACTCCTGCACTTGCACTTCTCATATGGTTTATGTGTGGGATATTTAGCTTTTTTGGAGCTGTTTGTTATGTTGAGTTGGGATTGACTATTCCAAAATCAGGGAGCCAATATATATATGTGATGGAAGCCTTTGGCCCTTTGCCTTCATTTTTAGTTTTATGGATTGACCTGATTCTCAAGGAACCAATTGCAAAATCAGTCACCTCATTGGCTGTTGCTAGATACCTCATTGAACCATTCTTCCATAACAGTCAAGCTTACATTTGTGAGGTTATCATTGCAGTTTGTACATTAAGTGAGTCATATTTTTTAAAATTATATTGAATTTTCTATACTAATATATATGATATGAAATATTGAATTATTTTTTTTTTTGATTAAATTTTTAATATAGCATACAAATTTGTAACATAGAAGAGGGAACTATTCCTATACAAATTTCTCATTTTTTAAGCAAATTAAATTTTTCCCTATACTTCCCCACAGTGTCTACATGCGCAGGAGGGGTAGGAACAGTTTGCATCCTATTTTTTTGAGGGGATGGGCTGCTTTAATGGGGGTGGGATAAATTTTTTCGGGGATTATCTATTAAATTTTAAGATGAAATAGGACAAAATTTATTGCTGTAAATATTTTTATTATAGAATTCATCGACAAAATCTATATATTGCAAACAATCATACACATTGTTTTCCAAATAAACTATCCTTTTAAATGTAATTTAAAAGGTTTAGATATTTCAGCAAGCTCATAATGCCATAATAATTAATTCATTGTAAATAATGGAGGTTTTAATTAAATTTATTATCTAAAAAATAAATTCTTTATATACACAAAATATCAATAGTTGGTAGTAGAGATAGATTAATTTAAGTTATCCTTTATAAATTCTTTGATAAGAGTATCAATAAATTAAATAGGTAAAAATAATAAGAAAGAGACACCGCCGCCGAAGGTGCCGTGTTTAGGGGGTTGGCAAAGGTTTTTGAAGGGGGTCATCCAGTGAAAATCCTGTCATGTAGATGCTGCTTCCACTCCCCTTCTCTGAAAAAAGGATACATTAATAAACCTTATAAAAAATTAAATTACCCACGAATCTTTAAATGTAATCTGTGGCCAGATGTACTCAAAGAGTGGGCCTATCTAAAACTATCCAATAAAATTTATTATTAAAAAAGCCTCCCTCCACCCAACTCAAAATCCTGTATGTCTGACCTTATAGCTTTGTAATTACTATATTTTTTAGCTATTTAAGCCAATTTTTAGCTGGCCAAAAACTATCACTTTTGCCTTGAGGGTTTATAGCAGCTTGAATTTGAAAGAAACAACACCTTAATGTAAATAGATTTTCTATGTAGCCAAAATTTAGCTATTACCCAACTATACTGACCACACAACTAGAATATAAATATCTGTGTTATATATCTTTTTGGATATATTTGATATTTGGGTCTAGCCAATTAGCCCAGCTGAATCAGTCCATTGGTTTACAGTGTCTTATTGACAACATTAATTCAATATAGTAGTTAATTTTAATATAACATTTTTGATCATTCATTGTGACTTATGAGGCCTCAAGGTGTTAAATAACACAACGCCAGAATACAACATGTTTACTATAAAGGAGGTCTTACATTAGATTTATAATAACAAATAAGATCCTTAAAATGAAAAATTCCAAAATATTCGATTCATTTTTTCCTAATTTTTTTGCCTTGTTTAAAATAATATTTCATACAAGCAACTTTTCCTTCAATAAACATCAAATATTTCCTTTAAAAATTGAATTAAAAATTTTCAAGGGGACTTTTATTTATTTTTTTTAAGTATGATATTGTTGGTATATTTAATTGTAAACAGGGGTTCTTAATATTTGTCAGTTGTACATATTTATAGAAAACAATAAGGCATCTTAAATCAAATTATCCATGATTTTATAATCAAAATATATTATAAAAATGGTATCGAAATATTGGAATCTCTCAATTTTTCACTTCGGGCCATTTTTAAGTTTGAAATAAATCTAATATTATTAGAAATGTATTCAAGAATGTGTGTAGTTCCTTACCTTATAAATTTCAGATATTTTTGCCAACATATTTTGTGTTCTTAATATTTATATTTAATATTAAAATTAAGTTAATAGATATCTAAACCTTTGTGATGTCATCTATGAAGAAAAATCTTTAGGCGTGCATAATATTTTTCTGGTTTAGCAACACTGCCCAATATGATATATATAACCAGAGAAACTACCCACATATCAAGTGTTTTTTTTAAAGGAATATAATCCATAAAAACACGTTTAATTGACAAATAAATTATTTATAAGAAAGTTTTTAAATTTTAATATTATAAGATTATGTTTCTTTAGTCTCACTCAACTCCCACAAAAATAGCTTTTAAAAAAATATATGATATATATATTCACAACTATTACTTTAAAATATGGAAATTATTCAGAATTATAACGAGTAAGCAGACGATAAATAAATTTTTAATGCGCTTCACGTTAAAAATATTAAAATATCGAGAAATTGATTTCGCACCGCTCTATTTTTTTTTGGATCGCTTATCTTGAACATTGGCCCTAGCCTTATCTGTTTAAAAATTTGGAAATCAATCATTTTTTTTCTTATTAATTTATGACTTAATGAGGATTAGGTATTGGCAAACTTATAATGGGTAATGGTAAAAGTATTGGCCGATACTTATCGATACTTTAGTATCGCTACATGATCTCAAGTATCAGTACATCTCTGCACAAAATACTATCGACACCGAAATCCATTTATCCTATCTCTCGGACCATGAGCGAGTCTAAAGTAATTTAATTACCACCGGTCCGAAGACTATAGAAATACTGGATTGAAAAAGGAAGAAAGAAAGCAGTGTTCGTAATTTTTTCCCCAGTTTCGGTCTGGAAAAAATAGGTTCGATATGTCGAGCTCAAAAAAAATTTAATTTTTAAAATTAAAAATAGGAATTTCGCAAATTTTTCGAAATCGTTACGACGAAAATGCAACATGTGAGAATAGTTTGTGTTGTTGTTGTGAATGTTAGTTAGTAGAGAATAGAGATGATAAATTCAAATTAATTAATATCTATCACAAATCAATCAACAAAATATAATTAAAAATAGTAATCTCATAAAATTAAGGACAAACTCAATTATGCGCATGCGCTTTAATATACATATATTATTATAATTTTGCTGTTATTCGTAAAACATAAGTTTTTTTTTTAAATTTCGAGTTTATAGAATTATAACCAAAATTCGTTTTCAATTTTTTAAAGATCCATTTTGAAGGTTGGCGGAAATTTATTTAGGACTTCCGCTTTTGTTTGTCCGGCGCGTACCGTGATTTTAATGCATAAAAAAAAATATTTGAGTTTTTGTTCCCATTTGTTTAACGTGGACCCAAATCGGTTAAAATTCATCTCTCATCCAATCTTTCCCCTAATCTTTCTTACATTCTTTCCCTACATCTCTCTTCCCAATTATTCTTTCATTCCTCAAATTCTACATCGTTCGCCTTACTAATTTATTAAAATATAGTTATGATTGGAATTTCTTTTTTAAAATGATTGAAACAAAAATGAGTCAGGTTCTATATATATATATTTATATATATAATTTTATTTTATCCATTTATCATTTTATATAACTATAATACTTAAAAATAAAATCCCTCATTTTAAATTTTTTTTTGGCAAAAGAAATTTATAGTTCTTTTGATTATCAAAATCTTTTTATAAAATTAAAATTTTTGTATAAAATTGCCAAATTTCTGATGGTTGCTTGCACGTCCGATTTGAGTCGATTTTTAAGAACGGCGACCTTTGTATGTTATACAGAAAAATATTAGGCCAACCTGAAGATTTTGCTCGTGTGCCTTATTTTACCTCTAATACAAAAAATTAATAATGTTTTAAAACTCCTAAGACCTCGCCTAAACAGGAGTAATTGATCTTGAGAAGGATGATTGAAAATATTCTTCTTACCTCAAGATACACAAAATATATACGCAAGTATCACACAGTAATAACAGTTAGATTTTAAAAAAGACCTTTGTATGTTATACAGAAAAATATTAGGCCAACCTGAAGATTTTGCTCGTGTGCCTTATTTTACCTCTAATACAAAAAATTAATAATGTTTTAAAACTCCTAAGACCTCGCCTAAACAGGAGTAATTGATCTTGAGAAGGATGATTGAAAATATTCTTCTTACCTCGAGATACACAAAATATATACGCAAGTATCACACAGTAATAACAGTTAGATTTTTAAAAAAAAACGGAGTTAGACCTTTGTCTTGAGAATAATGAGTGATTGTAACTCAAGTAATTTAAATTCCTCAGATGTTTGGACATCTATTCGCGAAATCTCAAGGCATGGGCAATATTTAAATCGAATCATTTCTATAAAATTACCATTAAAAAAAATTAAATCGCCATTTTCTACGAAGAACTTCGTTAATATAACGAGAAAAATGTAGTGCTGTAAACATTTCAAAAAAAAGGAACGCGTTCACGTTCATATACCGTTCAAAATATTATGATAAATTTTTTTAAATTTAATTTAATATAAATAAACATATATTTTTTAATACAATATATTTTAGCCATGTTAAAAAATAATGTAGTTTTATTTTGATAATATAATTATAAATAAAATATAATAATATAATATAGCTTTATAAAAAAAATTTCTTATTAAATTTTAATAACAAATTGTTTTCAAAATAGTTTATCTGATAGACAGGAACACTTGGCAGTTAATACGGCATTAGCTATACTAAAAACGCGCTCTACAGGGGCAGATGAGGGGATTGTGGTATTATACTTAATAAACAGCTCTTTTGACGTGTTAATTAAAAATATATTGTTTTGTTAATTGCAAAAAATTGAGATAAGTTTTCCTACTCCAATCCATTCTCTACTCTCGACAAAAAAAAAGGACATCTCGAAAATAACAGTTTTCAAGGGTTTTAAAAACTTTTTTTTCAATAACGCTATAAGTTTATTTTTAATAGGTTCGTTCTGTGGACGTTTTATCCATGGCCATTGAAGTTTGAATATTGGATGTATAATTGCAGAAAGAACATATTGATCTTTATATATATGTTCAAATCTTTAAAAAAATAAAATATATGTAATTAATTGAGAGTGATAGGTTTAATACCTTTTATTAATACGACGTCTATCAATGGTTGACCGTATTTGAGGCCACTAATTTTTTTAATTTTAAAATAACTATCGTTATTGTTGGGTCAAATATCCCAAATGCATT